AAAAGATTGAAGTTGTCAAAGATTTCATATTACCTGGATCCACAATCAACACCAATGGAAGCAGCAGTCAAGAAACAAAATGACTTATGCCACTGGGAAAATTTGCTGCAAAAGACCTCTTTAGAGTATTGAAGAGAATCATGTCTCTTTGAAGACTAAGGTGTGCCTAACCCAAGCTGTGGTATTTTCCATAATCTCATATGCATATGAAAGCTGGATAACGAATAAGGAAGACTGAAGGAGAGTTGATGCTTTTGAGTTGTGGTGTAGGAGAAGAATGTTGAAAGTGCCATGGATGGCCAGAAGAACGAACAAATCTGTCCTGGACAAAGTATGGCTAGAGTGCTCCTTGGAAGACAGAATGGCCAGACTTCATCTTACCTACTTTGGTCATGTCAGAAGGGAACATTCTCTGGGGAAAAGGATATCATGCTTGGTACAGTGAAGGGTCAGAGCAAAAGAGGAAGGCCCTCAACGGGATGGACTGACACAGTGGCTGCAACAATGGGCGCAGGTGAGCAAGGATTGCGAGGATGACACAGGACTGGGCAGTGTTTTGTTCTGTTGTACATAGGGTCCCTATGAGTCTGATCCAACTTGACAACACGAAACACCAATTGCAACAAAGGCAATATTTTCATTTCTAATTTTCTTCATATTGAAACGTCTAAATATTAGAAACCAAACTTTTTTAAAAAAATTATTTTTCATTTAGAATGTCTTTCTTGACAAATCTTCTCAAAGATAAAGTTATTCAATAAAAATCATAATTAAGATCGTTTTGAACATTTTGCCAAATATAAGTGTTGCAAAATCAGAAAGATTCTCAATATCATTCCATTCTAGCAGAGAATATAAATTTATGCAGTTAAACTAGGATAGCTGTCAAGAAATATTTTCCACAGTTAACTTTCAGAGTTCAATTAGAGAATGAAAAATTAAAACTTCTCCATTTGAACTCTCATTATTTAATTTGTTTAATCTTATTCCTTCCCTCTTTGAAGCTTTTTTTTTTAAAGAAAAGAAAAAATAGAGTAAAATTTTTGTAGCACAAAAAGAAAAAAAAAAATATTTCCTCAAATAATATTCAAAAGTCAATTGTTCACAGCATCAGTTTATAGACTGAAGAAACCTAAAGACCTGTAGCATCTGGACATACTGCAGAAACTAACAACAGCCCACTAAATCGATGACATGATGTTAGTTGGACCTGATGAGTAACAAGTGGCAAATACTCTGGCTTCCTTGGTAAGAAACATGGACTCAAGAGAGTGTGAGAAAAATCTACAAAGTTTCAGGGGTCTGCCACTCTTGATAAAGTTTTTAGAGATTCAGAGGTCTGGGACATGCCAGGACATCTCCTCCAAAATAAAGAGTAAAGTATTGTACTTTGGAATGTTTACTGCTAAGAGAAGACAATGCAGACGAAACAATCTTGTTTGCTGAATGTGAAGAAGACTTGAAACATTACTGATGAAGATCAAAGACTCAGCCTTCAGCATGGATTACACCTCAACATAATGAAAGCAAAAAATTTTAAACTGGACCAATAAATAACATAACAATAAATAGAGAAAGAGTTGAAGTTGTTGATGACTGCATTTTACTTGGCTCCACAATCCACACCTTTAGAAACAGAAGTAAAGAGATCAAGCAATGTATTGCATTGGGCTGATCTCCTTCAAAAGCCTGTTCAAAGTGTTAAACAGAGAGAATATCCTTTTGAAGACCAAGGTACGCTTTACCCTGGCCATGGCATTTTCAGTTGGACATTTGACTGCTAACCAGAAGGCTGGCGATCCAAACCCACCAGTCACTCCTCGGAAGGGAGATTGGGAAATCTA